TGAACCGCGGTCCCTGTGCTTTGCTAAGCTTGTTCTAAGTAGGTGCTTTAGACCACTGAGCCATCTCACCAGCCAAATAATATTTTGTTAATAAACAGAAAATAACAAGTATTCACTGGCAAAGCTGCAGAGAAATAGGAACTGCAATTCATTGCTGGTGGGAATAGTAAAATCACAGCAACTGCTATTAAAAATTTTGGAAGTTCCTAAAAAAGGAAGCATAAGATGACCATGGGATGCAGCAACTGTACTCTTAGGTACATAGCCAAGAGAAAAGACATGAAAAGACATGTCTGTGTAGAAGCTGGCACATGCATGTTTACAGCATGATTCATCATACTGCCAAAAGGTGGTGCTACCATAGATGTCCATGAATGGAGGGAAGTTGCTTCAGCCATAAGATGAAGGGACATTTTGACACATGCCACAGTTCAGATGGACCACAAGAACATTATATTGAGTGAAAGAAGCCGGATGAAAAGATCACATTTTTTGATTCATTTTTTTTATTGAGTATTCAGAATAAACAACCTAGAGAAAAAAATGAGATTGGTGACTACCAGAATATGGGGTGAGGAACAAAGAGTGATTAGTTAATGATTGTAGGACAGTAAATCATGTGCAATTATGGAGGAAATTTGAAATTGGAAAGATGGTTGCACAATATTGCAAATATGTTAAATACTTATGTATTATGTATTAAATGATTAATTGTGTCATATGTGAGTCTCAGCTCTATTAGAAAACCCAAGCTGCTGGCTGGTTATGTCCGCAGTACTGATTCCATGGAAATTTAGCCTGAGGGGACACAATATCCTTCATAGAGCAGGAGAAGGGTTCATCTGGGTGTTGGGATGGGTCATGGACAAGAGATCGTGAAGCTTGATTTGGCAAAGGACCATAGCAGTAGAGAGCAGAGCCTTTGACGGTTAAATAGTGGAAGTGCATGTGTGGAATCTAGAACCCTGGGGCTGAGAACCTGGATACCATTGGAGAGTAGGTCTGGCTGGCACTGATTAAAGCACAGTGGTCCCTGCTGCCTGGAGAGCCCCACACAACTGTAAATGGAAGATAAGGGTGGGGTGAGAGAGGCAGCTAAGGTCTGCTAAGAGGTGTTACCTCTTCTCCTTTCTGTCCTTCAGATGTTGAACCTCTTTGTGGCTGTGATCATGGATAATTTTGAATACCTCACGCGGGACTCTTCCATCCTAGGGCCTCACCACCTGGACGAATTCATCCGGGTCTGGGCTGAGTACGACCCAGCTGCGTGGTGAGTGAGCCCCAGTGCTCTGTGGTCCTCAGGGGTGTCCTTACCCACGGCTTCTGGGACAGGGCAGGGGTGCCCTTGGGTATGTTTCATATGAATACTTCAGGTGTCATTCTGGAGCCCAGGGTCCCCTTCTCCATGTAGAGTGGTGCTGGTGTCCCCTTTGAGTGGTCTTTTTCAGTCTTGTATGCCTCAATGCGGCTCCAGGGCAGAGACATGGCGCTTGAGATCCACAGTTGCCTTTCAAGAGGGTCCCTGTGCCTGGTGTCCTGTGAAGTTTGGGAAGTCTGTGAGGCTTGGGGCTTTTCATGCATAGGTGTTTCCTGCCTTCTCCCAAGGATCATCAGTAAGGAAGAGTGTGGAGACATCATGGTTGCACTACCCTGTGACACTCTGAGGGCTTTAGGGGCAAAAGTAATGTGGGGTTTTGTGACATGTCCCCTAAGGGAGTTCCGGGGTCTTCTCTGCTATCTCCCTTGGGGATAGGAGCCAACATGTACCTGTGTTCCCAGCTCTGGTTGTACACCATGGGCACTCAGCGAACTTGAAGTGAAGCCAGAGGGACCACCGGGATGGCTTTAATATGTTCACAGTCCTTTTGGAAAGGTGGGAAAGGGTGACCACATGGGTTCCCTTAAGTGAGGGGCAAGCCATTTCCAGAGTGTTGCTTCACACAGAGTGTTAGAGTCAGTTGGTGAGCTCGTTCAAGACCGCTTTCTGTGGAAGTGCCTTGTACTGTGCTGTACTGTTCTCTGTGCAAGACAGAGATCACATTTGGGTGGAAGGTGGCATAACAGCAGGGCTCGAACCATCCACCTGTCCGTGCCTCACCCACACTATCCCCGCACACATCTCCTTATCCTCACTCCTCTTTACTCTCACTTGCTCATTCAATGTTCACTTGCTTCCTCCTTTGCTCATTTGCTTATGTAGCTAATCATTGAACTGTTCATTTGCTAACTCACCCACTCACTTGCTCATTCACTAGTTCACTCTCTGGTCATTCACTTACTCATCTGCTCTTTTACCCTTCATTTTTTCACTCACTCACCTGCTCTAGCAGTAGCTACTGAGAGCTGCTCCCTGCAAGGCAGGTGCTGGAGACATTGGACTGAGCCCAGGATTCTGGGTAAGGAGAGGCCTGCTCGTGCCTCGCACCCCATGAGTGCTCAGAAACCAAGAATGAATGAAGAGGAAAGATGATCATTGTCCACCATGCATGATTCTGTGCTCACCACCCTGCAGAGGGAAGGCCTGGAGGAAATGGTCAGACTCCTACTGAAGAGGCTTCCGCTGCCCACGCGTTTCCCCTGATGCGCAGCTGGCTGTGAGGAGTCCTCCATAGACCCCAAGGGCTTGGCCATGCTCCCTGAGCTCTCCCATGTTCCTGTATCCTCCATCTGTGGAGGCCACTCGCTGCATTGGGAGCCAGGGACGCAGCCCTCTCCTGCCAGGCTTTTCCAGGCCAACAGTCTCTCCATGCACATCCCCCATTTTAATAAGGAATTTGGTTACTGCACAGTGCAAGGAAGCATAGCAGTGGCTTATGTTTCTCAGTGTATATGACCATTTTCTTGGCTTTGGATCCCCACCATATCTGACGCTTCCACATCTTTGTCCTGCAGTGCCCACACTCTTGCTTGAATGCATGGGCTCAGGGATCTTTTCTTGGGTCCTGTGGCCAGGAAGGCCACTCATATGAGGGACATGCCAGGCAAAGGACAGGAGCACCTGGAACTGAGGCATGACTCAGGCATGTCTTAGGAGCACCACTTGGGAACATTTTCCCAAGAGGAGTGTACCATGGAAAGAGGAGTTTGTTGCATGCTTTGTGGGATATAATGTGCACTAATGGGTGAAGGCCAGTGCGACAGCAAGAGAACACCCTGAATCTTTGTACGTTGCATACCACCCGGGCCTTCCGCAATAAGCCTGGGCTGATTGCAGTGTTATGTCATGCACAATGAGGGCTCAGACTGTTTCTCAAGTTTTAGAATTGGGGACTGGGGATGCTGCAAGGCTAGGGCTATTGGGCACATGATAAAGAAAGTGCTTGCCAAAGAGTAGATGGCAAAGATAAGCCCTGTGCCAGAGGTGGCACATACCAGGTCCTACACAATACCATGAGCCTGGAGTGACAAATGTGGCCTGTAAGCAGCACATGCAGATCTCCTGCACAAGAGCTTTGGCCAAGGTATAACCCTAAATGGACTGAGGAGGCCAGCCATCTGAGCAAGCCGGGCTTGCTCGGCCAAACATGCTAACATGGGTCCTATGTCCTCGGCACGACAGAGGACAGCTCAAGCCTTTTAGTAGAACAGATGACCACTTTTGGATGTCTGTTTCATATTTAGGAGACACTTCGAAACCACAACAAAAGTATTAACTTTCCAACATTTCATGTGTGTATATGTGTGGCTGTGTATGTGTGTACAAGCACAGATATGTACCTGTGTACATATGCATGCTTATATTTGTGTGCATGCTTACATATGCATGTTTACATTGGTGTGTGTGAGCCCATGTGTATTGTGCACATGTGCATATATACATATGCCACATGTGTGTTTATTGTAGTTATGTGTGTGTGTGTGCGCAGGTGTATGTATACATGTGTACACCTGAGTCCATGTAGGCAAATGTGTATATGCACATATTTCTGTGTGTACCTATAATTGAGTTTATCTGTGTATGTGTGTAAGGGAACTGTACATTCAGGTGTGCCTGTCCGTGTGTGATAATTGCATATATGTGAGTTCATTGCATGTCTATATGCACATGCCTATGTGTGTCATGTGTGTATGTATTGTGTGTGTGTGTGTGCAGGCACAGGTGCATGTATGTAAGCATATGCATATTCTGGGAGATTACAAAGTGGTTGATATTTGTAGCTGCTTTTCCCTGGCTTCCCTTTTGTTAACTCAAGACTTTGAAATGTAAAGTCTCAAAAGGAGAATCAAAATCACACTTCTTAGCCACTCTGTCTGCTTAGTTTATATTCATCTGTTTATCCAGTAGGCTTTTTTTCAGCATCTGCTTATGTGCTGAGTACAAGGTGACAAGGTGAAGCAGGCACATGCTCTCAGAACACTTAGCTAGGATGCATGTGGCAGTGGCTGGAGGTCAAAGCTAGGACATTTGAGGCAGAAAAGAAAATACCACATGCCATCTGAGCTGAACCCAAGGGAGCAAGGGGGGTGGAGCCCTAGAGAAGGCTAGGTTGGGTGCAAAGGCACGGGGATATCCAGGATACTGCACCAGGCTGGAGTACAGAATGCATTCCAAGGGACTGGGATAGGCCTGGGGATGTGGGTTAAAAAAGCTTTGATTTTTGTTTAATAGATAGTTTTTGAATCAGGGAGTAACAATTTTGGGCCTGCACTTTTCATTTGGTGGCATCTGACAGGTCCTGTGAATAGAGGCTGTCATCCCCCCTACCTCTGGTAATAGTCCCCAGGGTCTAGCAAGGTTAGCAACATCTTGGGGGGCCAAAGTAGGGCTTCTTTCTTTCCTCTTTGCTAAATTCACCTTAACTTGGAGTTGATTGGACTGAGGGAGGCTACAGTGTAGGAGAGAGAAGCATTAGGGGTGACCCAAGGGTACCACGACTGGGAGGAGGTTGTCTTTAGATGGACCAGCAGGTCCCAGTATGGGAATCTGGTGTGTCCAGGAAGATGGGAGCAGTCAAGGGGCACCTCTGAGGTGGATTTTTATTCCTGAGGTGGCTGTGGCGGGCAGACAGGTGCATGACAGCCAGGGTCAGAGGGAGACCTGTGGAGGGTCTCTGGCACTGAGAGATAAAAGGCAGGGCTGAGTGAGCTGGGCAGGCTCAGGCCAGACTGACCAGGACAGGCAGGACAGTGTGCAGAGTAGGCACTCGTAGGGGCCGGTATGTGAGTAGTGTGTCCTGCTCTGTGTAGCACACAGATGTTCTGTGTGGAGTGTTCCCTGCCTGCCTTGGCCTTGAGGAATCATCTTGACTTGATGCACCTCCTGGACTGTTCCAGCCCCTAAAAGGAAGCAGCCTGGCCAACCGGACCCCTCACCGCCACCATGAGGCCACATCTTCCTTTGCAGGCTGGGTGGGTGGGTGGGTTGGGCTCCATCATGCCTTTGTTGCCATAACCTGTGACATTTCCTTTCCAGTTGCCGAATTCATTATAAGGATATGTACAGTTTGTTGCGTTGTATTGCGCCACCCGTTGGCTTAGGGAAGAACTGCCCTCGTAGGTTGGCCTACAAGGTTTGCAACTTCAGAGCCTCCATCCAACATACTTCCCTGCCCGAACTGCAAACACAGCACACACTCCCTGCCTGGTTTGGGAATGACAGCACCTCACCTCTTTCCTTCTGTCCTGCCCTGCCCTGCACTCCAGCCTCCTAGATGCTTTGGTTCCCTGTCTAATCTCTCCGACCCCTCCATCTGGCTGGGGCAGGCAGCCTTGAGAGATAGCACACAGAGCTTCCGGCTGGGTTGTTTTGGCCATGATCAGCCAGCTGGGTGGGCACTAGGGCCAGGTCCAGCTTGCACCACAGAAGGAGCCATCTGACCCAATTCTTCTATAGGCTTTCGTAGGTAGGCTGATGGTCAGACAGGCCAGAGGTTGAGGACCCAGAGAAGGGGAATGTGGATGCAAGTGACCCAGTAGTGGTCCCTCTTGGTCAGAGAGGCATTCAGGTCCCAGGGGGAAGAGAGAACAAAGGCAAAGCCGGGCCTGAAGACGAGCTGTCTTGTGTCACCTCCAGACGATCATTTCGCTCGGCGGAGGAACTCCATGGTCTGTGGGATGTGGGCAGGTTCTGGGCAGGTCTGCCTGCTAGGAAAAGGCCAGGCCTGAAATTGCTGTGTCTCTGGGGTACCAAGCCTTTAGGCAGGTGCTGCTTTCAGAGCTGAGGAAGGCCCCACGTCTCAGGAAGACTTGCCACCGGCTCCCAGGTGGCTCCTGAGTCCAGCTCAGGTTCCAGGCCACACAGGAGGCTCGCCTTGCCTGTTGGTCCCCACCTGAGTGGTCAGGCAGCACATGAGTAGCCAGGGTCACACCCGCCCAGCACCTCCCCTTTCCCCTGCAGTCTCTTCCCTGCAAGCCCTGACCCCAGCAGCAGCCCTGCCCTGGCCGCCTCGGGCGTCTCTGGGCTTGGAGCAGGACTTGTCCCGTGGTCAAGTTTGGCTCTAGAGCTTTGAAGATCCCTCTCTGGTTTTCTGGTCTGTTGTAGACTTTTCTCCACTTTAGCCTCTGGCCTCAGTTGGAAGCAAATCTGACTGTTCAGACAGCTGGTGTTGCTACTGTGGTCTCAGCCACAGCCCTGTCTCCACAATGGGCCGGCTCGTCCCTCATGGTGAAACAGCTCGTCTCTGATTTGGCCTTATCTGTGGTTCTAAACGAGTAAAATCAGAAACTTACAACCCAAAGCCGCCCCGATGCAGCCCTTCCTCCCCCTCCATGTTCATTAGCTCAGATGTCACCCCCACCCACTGCCCTCTGTGGGGCTGGAGTGAGGAGGTGAGGCTCGGGGGGTGGGGGCCACAGGGGTCAAGTCAAGCAGAGAAACCCTTCATTTGACCTTTCTTGATTTTGGGGTGTCACCTGGCACTTGGATTAACTAGATGTGTTTTCTTGTTTGCTTCCTCCCTGCCCCTGCCCCGCTCTGCCCCTCTGCTGCCTGCCTCGTCCTGTGGACCACCCCACTGTGCCTGGGCCTTTCTGGGACGGGTTTCCAGTGGGCGCATCAGTTACAATGACATGTTTGAGATGCTGAAACACATGTCCCCACCTCTGGGGCTGGGGAAGAAATGCCCTGCTCGAGTTGCATACAAGGTAGACCCTGACCCTGTACCCCTGCCTCAGGAGCTGTCTGTACCGGGCTGGGCTGCCCTGGCCTCCTCCTATCTGCAGGGCGCATCTGGGTTCTCCCCGCTTCTGCTTTTGCAGGGCTCACCCAGCTGTCTGTCTGCACCTGGCTACCTCATTGTTCCATCTTCTCCACCCTGCTCCTCTCTGCTCTCATCCCAGGCAGTGGGACATGGCTGTTATGAGGACTCTGCCCTGGCCCCTGATGCCCATCTGAGACCTCTCCTGACAGCCCAGAGATGCTTGAAAGATGGAGCCAGAGCCCTAACCCCCTTCCCTTCCTTTTCTAAGAATGAGGGGACAGACCCATTTTCTGAACAGAAATTGTTTTGTCGTGGGTTCAAGACCAGCGGAACCCTGCCTGCCCTGTCCCCTAAGGTCCTCAGGGTGCAGCCTTTGGGGACAGGTGAGACCTGTAGAGACCTGGTGCCACACACACACACACACACACACACACACACACACACACACACACTTCTGTGAAGTTCAGCCAGTGCCTGGCTGCAGTCTGCATGGGCTTCCTGGCCCACTGTGGAAAGGAGGCACTGTGATGTTGAGAAAATAGGCTGTGAGGGAGGGTGTTGCAAACCTGCCTGAGGTTACCCAGCCTGCTGCAGGAGAGGAACAACCTCAGGCTCCAAGTTCCAGAGGGATAGGCTTCAAGGAAAAGGCAGGCCAGTATGCCTCCAGCCTCCCTCCTGCAGTGTGAGTGGGGCCCACAGCCCTAGCCCCACACCTGTTCGCCTGCCTGTGTCATCCCCAAGGACCCCACCCATCTTGACCCCTCTGCTAGCCTGAATTGCTCACCAACAAGCTGAGAGGGTTTCTCTGGGTGTCGCCTATCCGATCTTTCAGCCCTGTTCTAGGTTATTGTCTGCCATCTAATTCAGTGCAGCTTGTGGAGCTGTGCAGCTCCTCCCAGCCAGAGAGATGTCTCTGGTGTCTCTCTTAGCCCCTCCTCTGCCCATACTCGCATGTGTGTTGCACCTGCTGCATGCAAGGCTGTAGCCCTGTCCCTAGGGGAAGAGCTCTGTCCAAACTGACACTGCGTTGGGCAGGCAATGCAGTGTGGCCCTTCCAGCCAAGCCGACTGATCTTGAGGCTCTGGGCAGGGTGGGCACCATGAGCCTGGGCAAGCTGCAGGAGGTCCAAGGGATACCTGGAGCACCGTGGCAGACATTGTCACTTTGCCCTGGCCTTTCTCCTCAGCGTCTCAGCTCCTGGCCCATCAGGGCCTGGGGCAGATGGTAGGAGCTCTGGTGAGGGCAACCCGCAGAGTACCCTGGACAGAGCTCTCCCTTTAGTGACCACCTGCTTGCTCCTTGTTCACCCCATCCCCACTCCTCTCCCTGGGAGAGGAATTCCTCCACCTCACGTTGCTGTTGGTGCTGGTCTGCAGGGACCCCTTGCTCTGTGAGGCAGGTGTCTCCGGTGTGCAGCACATGTATGTGGGGTCCTGGCACTATGGATGCCAAGTGGGGCTTTGCCAGCATTCAAAGGACAGAGTCTGGCTCATTTCTTCAGTCCCATGTGTCCCCACCTGTCAACCTTCAGTCTCAGGACTTGAGAGCAGGATACTGAGGGCAGGGCTGTGTGGCCCTCCCCAGAGGAGGGGCTAAAGGCTTGCCCTGCACGAGGCCAGGCCTCCAGGAGGGGCTCCTGTCTCTAGCTCCATCCTGAGGACAGCATTGACATGATGTTCCTTGGGCTGTGTCTGGCTGAGCATCTTAGATCCATTTCCTCCTGGACAACCTGTGAACTCAGAGCCTGAAACTTTAGGTAGCTGCAGGCTCTGCCTGGAAGACTGTGGTGCAGTTCATTCATCCAGCTGTCCCTTCCTGAAATCAAAGAGAACAAAGGGGGCCGGCCACAGAAAAGTGGGGAGATGGGAGCAGGTGCTCCTTACAAATGCTCATGTCACTGCTAGCAGACCCCAAGTGCCTGTGCAATGGTTCTGTCTTGCTGGAAGGAGCTGCTGTCTTCAGCTGATCTGATCTCTGCCTTTTAATGGCATTGAGAATGTCTTCCGGCACCCTGGCTAGGTGGTGAGAAGCAAATACTTAACTGGACCTGAGGTAAAACCAGGGCATCTCCGGTACCTCTCTGGGGGCTGGGCTTCAGGGTGGGACTCTTGCTGCTACCCTTGTCCGGCTGACTCAGGTTTAGGTAGAGGGGAGGTGGACAGACCCTTAGAACTGAGAGCTGCTTTCCTGCATGTGTTCTTCACTTTGGACCCTTCCTCCTTAGCCAGTGCCATATGCCCTCTTTTCATCCATGGACTGGGTCCAAAGCCCCTCTGGCTGAGGATATCCCTGTTCTTCTGGAGGGACTTGGGCTCCTGGCCCAACCCTGTGCTGTAGACTACCTGGATTTCTGCTTTTAGGCAGCCAGGAGACTCCTCAGTTCTGATAAGAGTTGGGGTTGGGGTGAGTGTGAATGCTGGCAAAACTCCCCTCCACCCAACCTCACTTAGGCCCAGGCACCTGCAGGAACCACCCTCAGGTGGCCCAGCCAGCCCCCAGGCACCCAAAGTACTGAGTAGCCTTGGGATGGGGGTGACCCTGGTGTACTTGGCCTTTACCCACTCTTCCTTATTTCCAGCGCCTGGTTCGCATGAACATGCCCATCTCCAATGAGGATATGACAGTACACTTCACCTCCACGCTGATGGCACTCATTCGGACAGCACTGGAGATCAAGCTGGCACCAGGTGAGTGAAGCAGCCTCCATGTACAGGGGCTAGGGAAAGGAATTATTCTGTCTGGGTGGAGCACTGCACACAGTAGCTGCTCTGTTGGGCACTGGCTTTGTCCCCATGTAATGTTGCATGTTAGCACCGTAAAGATTCATATTCAGGTGGGAAGCTGAGGCACAGGGAAAGGGCTAACTCACTCAGGACTTGGCCCAGCCCATGCCTGTGAGGGACTGTGCTTGGTTGATGCTCTCTCTGCCTTCCCTCCCCTTCACAGAAAGGAGGGGACCTGCTGCCTTATATCCTTCCCTATCTCTGTGCCTGTCCACTCTGCAGCCAGGGTCTCTTCTCATCATCTCCCTGGATGCCCCCGCCCCCACAGTTCTGTTCCTGCTTTTGCTTTGTGTTTTTCTTTTATGCATCACTTATATCAATTTGTGAATGCACCACTGCTTATTTTTTTTTTATAAGCTTTCTTTTCTCTCCCTTCTTTTGATTTCCTTGTTTTCCTTCCTTCATAGCAGCCATCTCCCAGCAGGACTGTCTGTTGTCTGATTTTCCTCTGGCCTCCACTCAGGCTGTGGCCCACCCTCACTCACTGTTGTTCCATGCTGCCAAGCCCGAAGGTCAATCCTCAGTCCTTGTCATACAGCCTTACTCTGTTATTTATGAAACCGTTTGTGCCTTTGTGGATTTTCCACTTACTCACTCTGGATTGTGCTCAGAAAGTCTTCTTTGCCCTTCCCACTCAGTCCTTTACCACCTGTGCATATCATGAATTCCGGTTTTGTAATGATAATCCAAACTCAAACATCTTCCAGTTTTTCTTGTCTTCCTTGGGGACACTCAGCATCGCACCCTTGACCTGCCTGGACCTCAGCTCCACCTGGTTCCATAGCTATCCCAGAATCATCAGTGGGAATGTGTTCCTCCCAGGGCTCAAGCCACAATCTTAGAGTCATTTTTTACTGCATCTTATTTCCTTATCTCATTTCTGAATCATGTCTGATCTCTTTCCATACCCCCGTGACTGCCAGAGTGTGGTCACTTCTACCCTAATCAGCTGCCTTCTCCTGGCCCAAGTCTGTCAGCTTGTCATGCGCTGTCTACCCTCAAGAATGATCAGGTTAGAACCAGAAGACTAACTAGACTGGTCTAAAAGAACAATGTGCAAACGATCAACGTAAGAAACAAAAGAGGAAATGTCACTGCAGGGCTTGTTGACAGTAAAAGAATAACAATGGGAGTATTATAATCAATGTTATGTGCGTCAACTCAGAAGGTTAAATGAAATGGAAAAATTAATTCTTTGAAAAAACAAACTATCAGGCTCATTCAAGAGCTAGGAGTGTGGCACATACTTATAATTCCAGTGCTCTGGGAGGTTATAGTAGGAAGGTAGTAAGTTTGAGCCCAGTCTGGGCAACTTAGCAACTTAGGAAGAACTTGTCTCAGAATAAAACCTAAAATGGCCAGGGATATAGCTCACTGTGAATGCCTAGTAACACACACACACACACACACACACACACACACACACACACACACTCAGGAACATTATATGTTAAACTAATAGTGAATAATCTTCCAGTAAACATAATTCCAGGTCTAGATAGTTGCATTGGGAAAGTCTTCTAAACATTTAGTAAAGAAATAATATCAGTACTCTAAGACTCACAGAAAATAGAAAAACACAGAGAATTTTAACCTACTTTATATGAGCTTTGTTCTGATATGAAAACTAGGCAAAGATATGACAAGAAAGTAAAACTATATTTTGAAACCTATATGCTTCTTAAATATAGATTTAAAATTTTAATACAAATTTAGCAAACTGAGTCTAGCAATATATCAAAGGAGATAATAAATTCAAAGAGGATTCAGTGTTTGAAACTCAGTTTAAATTTCCCACAGTAGGGCCAGCCAAATAGCTTAGCGAATTAAGGCACCTGCAAGCAGGTACAGGGGTCAGGGGCTCAATCCCTGGGCCTGCCGTGCTAGCCCTGCCCCCGGAGCACACTGAGATGGCAGTTGAGACTGGGCGTGGTGGTGCACGCTTACAATCCCAGCTCTTGGGAGGCTGTAAACAGCTGGATCACTACAAGTCCGATCTAGTAGTGAGGCCCTGAACACCCTGTAGACCCTTCCCTAAACTACAAAAAAGAAAGAAAGAAAGAAATTTTCCACATTAAGTAACAAAAACTATATGATGTCTTGATAGAAAAAGCATTTGACAAAATTCATTCATGCATGCATAATTAAAAAGGTCTAAATTAGGAATTAAAGGAAACTACTGTGGAAAAAAGTACAACCCTAAACCAAATAAATAAAGGATTAAAAAATTGTTTTTAGGGCTGGTGAGATGGCTTAGTGGTCTAAAGCACCTACTTAGAACAAGTTTAGCAAAGCACAGGGACCACGGTTCAAACCCTCAGCACCACATGCCAGCCAGCCTCTCCCCCAGGTGGGCTGAGCTGGCCACACACACACACACACACACACACACAAATAAAAAATTTTTTAAAAAATTGTTTTTAAAAAAAGTTCCATTGAAATGGCATCAGAGGGGCTGGTGAGATGGCTTAGTGGTCTAAAGCACCTACTTAGAACAAGCTTAGCAAAGCACAGGGACCACGGTTCAATCCCCCAGCACCACATGCCAGCCAGCCCCACCCCCTGGTGGGCTGAGCTGGCCACACACACAGACACACACACACACACACATAAATAAATAAATAAATAAAATTAAAAAAGAAAAAGAAATGGCATCAGAGCCATGAAACACTTCTGTTTTGCTGGGTAACTAAAAAGTACATATGCAAAATAGCTATGCTATAAATTATCAAATATTATCAAAACATTAATAACAGGAATCGAGACCTAAATAAATTGAGCAGCGAGGCATGGTGGTGCACACCTGTATCTGCAATACTCAGGAGGCTCAGGCAGGAGGATCCCCATGAGTTTGAGCCACAAACTCATAGGGCTACATGGTGACCTCAAGGCCAGCATGGGCTACCTAATGAGACCCTGTCTCAAAACAAATAAAAAGCAAAAACTAAATAAATTGAGCAGTCCAGGTCATATCCTTGGTGGGAAGACTCAATATTGGTAAGACATCAGTTCTCCTCATATTGATCATTAAAACCAATGGTATCACAATCAATATCCTTTGGTAGTAATTCTAAAATGTATGTAGAAAAGCAGAAAAACTAAGAGGATAGTGTTCAAGAACAAAGTTTAAAAACTCAGTGAAGCTACATTGGTCAAGGTGTGAGTGACAGAATAGAGATAAGGGAACAATGAAACAGAATAGAGATGTGTATCATGTGGTCAAATGACTTTCAACAAAGTTGTGAAGATAGTTAATAGGGAAAAGATCAAATACTGCTGACAACTATATGCAAAAAGCAAAAAAGTTCTTGACTCAGGCTGGCAGCACAAAGTACCAGAGACTGGTTGGTGTAAACAACAGAAATTCATTTCACAGATCTAGAGGCCGGGTTGTTTGAAAGGAAGGTGCCGGCGGGGCGCTCTGAGGGTTCCTGGTCTGGGTGGAGCACGGGCCCTCTTGCCCTGCTCTTTCCTAGCCTTCTTGCAGGAACATTCACCCTCTGAAGCAGGGCCCGCCCTCACGACCTCATTCAGTTTTCGTTTTCTTTCTGTAGGCACAGTGGTGGTCAGGGCTTCTGCATACGAATTTTGGAGGAATACAGTGAAACACATAGCGTGTGTACACTTTCAGCTTCTACAAAACTTAACTCGCAGAAGATCATAGACACATGTAAAATTTGAAATGTAAAACTTTCAGAATAAAATACAGTATAAAAATTTTGGCATCTTTGGGTTTAATAAAGATTTCTTGGGCTGGCAAGATAGCTCAACAGTCTAAAGCACCTTCTTAGGCAAGCTTAGGCCAGTTCAGGGATCGTGGTTTGATTCCCAGCACGACATGCTGCTCCAGTCCCGCCCCTAGGGTGGGCTGAGCCAGCCAAACAAACAAACAAACAAACAAAAAAAAGATTTCTTAAGGTGTATAACATAAAAAATTAATAAGGTAAACTTCATTGATATTAAAACTTGTGGGCATGATGACACATTCCTGTAATTTTAGCTATTTGAGAGGCTGAAGCAAAAGGATTGCAAATTTGAGATCAAGCTGGGCAACTTAGTCCCTTTCTCAAAAAATTAAAAAAGGCTGAGGGTGTAGCTCAGTGATAGAAAGTGTGCTTAGCATGCCAGTTCTGTGGGTTCAACCCCTAACACACCCACATGTGAAAAAAAAAGCTCAATGAAAATGGCAAAAGTTTCGAGTGCATATCACTAAGATAGATAGATAGATAGATAGATAGATAGATAGATAGATAGATAGATAGATAGATAAATATATGTTAAGATACTTAGTGTGATTGGTCATTAGAGAAATTCATAATAAGACAAGATAATACCATATGTCATTATAATGGCTAAAATATGTTTTAAAATAAGTATTAAACAGGGTAATTGAAATTCTTATATGTTCCTGGTGGTAATGCAAACAATGTGCACTCTCCTTGCCGAGCTGCCAGCTTTGTACTTGCTTATATAGTCTAGCCTTCCGACTTAGGAAATAAAAGCAGATCTGCGTGCAAATGTTTATGGTTTTATTTATAATTGCCAAAGTTGGCAGTAACTCACATCCATCAAAACTGACATATCAAGACAATGAAATAGTGCTTGGCAGTAAACAGGACAATCTGCTAGTCAGAGCACATCACAGACTCATCCCAGTGTGTGATGTGACACTGTCTGTATGCCATTCTGTAGGGTGCAGACCTGCCGAGACAGACATGAGTGACGCCAGGCTAGAGCACTGACTCACCAGCGTTTTGGGGGCTCGAGGGTACAGCTGTTCCTTATCTTCAACAGAGTGGTGTACACATTTACTAGAGTTCATAGAGTAGCACGGTGAAAAAGGTGGATTTCATTTATGTGAGTTGTGTCTTCATTAACCCGATGTTAGGGCAAGTTAAATCAGGTTGCTGTTTTTCCACTGGTTGCCTGACTAGGAGTCTCTTGCCTGCCCCCTCCTGGCCCAGTGGGACACACTGATGGTCCCTTTTTGCCCTCAGTATGTTACACACATTCCCCCTTTCTTGTGAGAGTCTTCCCAACCACGCTGTCCAAAATATAGTTATCTGGAGACGTCCTCCCTTTGCTTTTTCTGTCTTGGCATTTCTTTTCTTTGTGCTATTGAACTGAAGAATATAGTACAAACTTCAGAAGGGGAGTTTGAGGGGGCATTTTTGTTCTATAATCTAAAATACTACCTGACATCTACTGGGCGATCAGTAAATATTTTTGAACGAATGTGTGAGGCCTGGGATGCCACCACACCCCTTCTGGGTTCCCACCCTCACACCGCAGGCACACCGAGTGCTCGCGCAGGCGAGTGCCAGTTGGGTAGTCTCTGCAGGCCCTGCCTGCCTGCACAACAGTGTCGTCCTGCTAGACCTTTCTTCCAGCACTGTACCCTCACTTCTCACACTGGTCCCAGCTCCGCCCATATGAAGGTGGTAGGACTGCTCCTAACATCTGTCTTTCTTCCTCTGTTGTCATGAGCCAGCTGGGACCAAGCAGCACCAGTGTGATGCGGAGCTGAGGAAGGAGATCTCTTCCGTGTGGGCCAATCTGCCCCAAAAGACTTTGGACTTACTAGTACCACCTCACAAGCGTAAGTGGGAGGGCAAGAGATGCCCTCAAACTGCACTTTCCTGCCATCGTCCCCCCACTCCCCAGGAGGGGCAGAGGCTGGAGGCATGCAGAGGTGAGGGTAGGAATGCTAGCCTTGGCCATGTGTGCTCACTCTTTCACCCTGGTGACCCAGAGGCTGCAGGAGGTGGTCTGAGGTCTTACTAATGCAGGAAAAGTTTTAAAATATCCGAAGACTGTAACGTCATGTACCTCGGTAGTGTCCCAAATTTTCTGATCAAGAAGCTTATGGGGCCAAAGAGGAAAGTGATCGATGACGTAGAGTGTGCCTAAGGAGAGTCACATGGGGAGAAGACACTCTCTCAGGCTTTCACAGAG